GAAATCGTGTGTCTGTTGTAGAATCTCTAAAAGAATTGGCAATCTACCTGAGTAGATGTCTACCTACTAGATCCTATCTAAATACCTACTGTCTCGAAGACGAGCCTCCTGATAGACCTTCAAGTCCTGTAACATGGAACATATCACGTCATAAGATCCAAAGAAAGAAAGGACTGGCTAGGCAAGTAAGGAAACCCTGTAAGAGATGTTGCGAGAATAACATTACAGTATTAAAAAACAATAAGCCCGTCGAAGTGACAACGTTTTGTAACGACTGCATTGGCAAGCCTCATTTTTGTTTGCGTTGTTTTAACATAGTGCATCACATCACGCCCGACTAGTTCCTTGAAAACTTCACTGAGCGAATAATATCTCCTAATTCACTCCAACGTATTTTTAAGATTACACTTTTTATTTGGATGCGTTGATTGTATTTTTATTTTTTAGTTATAATTTTGTATGAAAAAGACAAATAAGTTGCGTAAATACTTTAATTTTACTTAATGATTATTATGGCAGCGAACATGTTAATATCCAAAGTTAAGACATCTCGTCGAACGTTGATTGTCATCGATTGTACACTAAGGAAAGATATATTTCAGATAAAAAATACTAAAATATATCTTTATAAGATACTCTTTGTAAAGAAGAAGCTACAGAGATTATAATTGAAAAATAGCACAGACTAAGATTTCATAAAAGACTACTAATAATATATAAGTATTGGAACAACTAAAAATTTTAATAGAAATTTACATTACTTAAATATATACGGTCTACTTTTTGTAATAATTTGATTATTAATTTCTAATAGCAATAGAGGGAGATGTTTTTTATATGATTTATAAATAATAAATAACTAAAGTGTTTTTATTTTGTACATTTTGACATAAAAAATAAAATTTTTGCCAAATTAGTCCTATTGATGAAATATCTTTAACGTTTGAAACATTCTTTACAAAAAAAATTGATATTGATTTATGTGCCATGAAATAAAAGTAGTATTAAGAATGTTTAAAGATGTACAATGCATCATTATTTTTTTAATTTAAAGAAGTTCTAAAGAAGCATATAACACTGCATATAACATCGCAAAACTACTACTTCAAAGTCAACAATCATTTTGACCCAGATGTTTCTTATATAATATATTTGTGAATGCTGAAAACAATGTCGCAAATCAAATTTCAAACTTGATTAGCATGAAGTTTCTGAAATTAAAGTGTGAATTGCGTTAAAAATGACTTTTGTAATATCTAACATTTTCTAATAAAGAAAATTAACGTAATACTAAAATTCTGATTAGAAGCAATAAATATCTTGTTCATTTTATAAAATGCGTTATTTAATTTACTTTCTAGCCATATTCTGAATTTTTATACGGAGGATTCAAACAGATTTACTAGCAACAAGAGCATATTTCTTACCTGTAATAATAAAGATATATGTACATATACGTATGTTTATAAGTTAGAGATTGATAGTTATCGATACACGTATACACAGTGTAATGTTATCACATAAATTTTAATATTTTTTATCATACTATTTGGAATATCTCTAACATGCTGACGAAATTTGGTGATATCGTTTTCAGAATCCATAAATTTATTAGAAACATCTATGTATTTTAAAAATAACGAAAATTTTTTTTTATGAATTAGTAAAGAAATCAAAAAATTGTTTTGTTTTTTGTCATTATTAATTGTCTAAATAAATCTGTTCTTAATAAAAATCTGTATATTGATTTTAGGTTTAGTTCGTACTCTCTCATTGCACATTTAATTCTAAACATAATTATTTCTAGAATTTTATTTGTCAATATAGTCCTGTTAATATATTGTGAAATATAAAAAATAGATTTCTATATAACATTTCTATATAAAAATTTATTTCTATATAGAAATTTTATTTCTGTATAATTTATTTCTATATAAAAAATATATCATTTTGAGATAAAAAAATTTAATACTATAAACCACAATAGATTTTTAATTCTTAGTATTTAAAGTCAGCGAATCATACTGCCTAAAATTTGCGGGCTCAGAAGTAGTATAATACGAACTGCTAAAGGTTAACTTGTCGTTCTTTTTAATATCGATATAAGGATTACATATATGCGAATATAAGATTGTTTTTATTAATATTAACGCAAACGATTGTGCAATAATATTTTTTTTATAACATTTTTTATTTTGACAGCACGAACTCAGATAATATTTCTTTTAGAAATCTGTTAGCAATTTCATATGTTACAAATTATAAGATATGAAATTAATAGCACATTTTTTTTTGAAAGAAATATTGTACTTTATGTATCATATTATGTAAAGATAAATGTTATAAAAAAATATTTTTATTACACAATACGTTTGCAGAAATATCAATACAATCTTTAAAATAATATTTGCATAAATAATTCTTACATCGACATTAATAAGAAAAGCGATAGTCATTCAACCAATAAAATTACCATAATTTTGACGTCAAAATTAGAAACGTCATTTTGTCGTTAGAATAACATATAATGTCAGCTCATTCACTTGATGCAGAGCATCGCCTTTAGCATTTTTCGTTGTGCCACATTTGAATACGCGAACTGTATGCAGTATGATTTGCTAACTTCAAGTGTTCATAATTCAAAAACTATTGTAATCTCAATATTTGATATTAGACTCTTATTTTAAAATGATCTCAGAAACCTTAAGCGTTGTTTACGGTCTTTAAATGGGAACATGTCCCATTTAAAGTTTTAGATTCAATTATCTCTCAAACAATTCGTTATTTCAAAAAAATGTTTCAAGTGGAACTTTGTTTTGAGGGAAACATCTTTTGATGATTCTAGGTAGACAAGTCTCTAAGGTTATATAATTTTTACTTTTTTAAATAAAATTATATATATATATTTTATTATATAAATTATACATATATATATATAAATAAAATATGGCAGAGATATGTTTAATTTTATATGTGTAATGAAAAGATGTAACGTTTAATACAGTGTTATAAAATTATGATTTATACAATTAGAGAGAGATACATGACGGGTATTTTATGTTAGATAATTTGGAGTGAATATATGTATTATGTATATAACTTTCGCTGAAGTGTTGCTATACCATGTATTATTTTATGTGTATCTGTAATAGTTTTACGTTGTGCGTTTCGAAGTTTTTGTATAGTAGCAGTATTTACATGTTTAATAAACTGTACTCATGTATTATCGGAAGTGTATTCCTTCCGATGATACTCGATGCCATCTAATAATGCTACGAGTTTCTAATAAAAGAATTGTAAAAAAAAGGATTATATCTTTTGGATTAACCACGAGCAAGGCTATACGCAATCTAATGCGTTAATAGACAAATTGGAATAATAGCGTACAGCGAGCGACAAATTAAGAAATAAATTAGGAAATAAATTAACGGTAAGAATCCTGATTATTTTAAAATATCGTCGATTTTGTCGATAGAATCTCAAGAATTTACACACAAGCGTTTGGAGAAGAGTTTGTTTCTTTATTGATGTAGGAGATGAAATTTCGCATGTCTTTATATCTGCAAGCTTTTTGACATTTCGGCACTTCCAAAGAATTCTCCTTTTCGTTTCTGGCTGGAGGCTTCGTTGAATATGCTTATGGGGATTGTACCTACTCACATTGGTTACGAGTTCTTAACACAAACAGTTGTATTAATGTACGGTACACATACTCGACACAGAATGCGTTGGCGAGTACGAGGTATGAAAGGTCGATCCATCAATTAAAATTAATACAATAATAATTAGAAATAAAAACACATTAATTTCCTATTATTTATTAGAAATTAGTGTTTAATCCCCCAAAAAACACATACTTACTTACTCATAGTATTACAAATTATTAATTATAACCAGTGGATTTTTATTAAAATATTTGTATTTTTAGAAATATATCAGCATTGAACATATAATTATAGTTTAATTAATAAAATAACATAATTTATTACAAAATATTGTTACATTCAAAAGTCTTTTTTGTGATATTAATTGATGATTTTTTCAAGTTTAGATTTGTAATTGGATTTTATAATTTATTTTGTGATATATGAAATGTATTTTTAAATATAATCTAAATTTTCTTGATGGGTCGTCCCTTCTCATATTTTCGAACGTGCCCCTGACGGCCTGAGACCAAACTTACACTCATCCACAATAAAAATGAAGCATTTAGTGCGATGCAGCGTAATTAATTAATAATCTAACATTTAGATGTAGCCGTGTATTAATATTTTATAAGCACACATCTCATATTTAATATGTTTTATTCAAAAGGTCTTTAAAATTTTAGATTTTTTTAGTACTAAAATTTTTTATTCTTTTATGTACTTAGAAAAAATTTTTTAGGGACTCAAAATTTCTTTCGTTAAACTTCTTTCTCTCTTTTAGTGTCTTCTCATTTTATCGTATAATATAATTTAATAGGGACTATTAATATAATAAATTATTTATAATATAATATTACATAAAGATTATTAATATACTGAACACATTGTAGTATGTAAAAAATGTTGATATGATTTACATGCTATCACATACTACTGTAATAGCTTATTTTTTTTAAACCGCCATATAAAACTTTATCAATCATATTTATTATCACATTTATTATAATGACTTTGTCATTTATTTCGATACTAAATTCTTTTTCAATTCACGTTGTTGAGCATGTTATTGCTCTCAATTCTTAATAATTTTGAATCACGTTTATTAGTGTCCCGACTGTAAAAGAATATCGATACCGATGTGTGCTTATCGGGAATATCTCATTATCGTATCTCCGAGAAAAATAAAACAACAATTAACACATCTATTGAAAACAACTGAAATCGCGAACTGACGAAGTACAAAAAAAAAACAAGAAAAAACCAGAGAAAAGCATCTTTTCGCGAACGATGAAATTATTACAATAAAGTAAGAGACCGTGTGTGTATGGGAAACACTTTGGATTGTGTGCGCAGAATCAGAGCACAATTATGGGAAGCATCAACCGCAACAACTACCACTACAACAACAACTACTACCTGAGCCACCGCAGCAAATGAGCCTCATTCTCGACGGGGCCAGGCGCAGAACTAAGCTGCACTACGTCGTGGAAAGCGGTCGTTGGGTGTGCGACGTCTGCGGCCGAACCTACAATCGTGGCGATTCCCTAGCCCATCATCGCAGTATACACAGGGGCGACACGATCTGCCCGATCTGTCAGACCGTCTTCACGCGAAAATACACCATGCGCTGTCACATGGTGAACGTGCACGGGGTCAAGTAATATAACGACCGCGGGTGTCGTGGAAACAGTGGCACGAATAGAAAAACTCGAGGAACTCAGCGCGATCTTCGTACAGAATTGAGCAGAACATTTAGCGTTGGTCTCATTTTTACGTCATTCGCGAAAAATTAGAGCACCCCAAAAAAATTTAGGACGCATCCCCTACAAGACGATAAACCATATAGAACGTATTTACAGGATTGAGAACGTTATTTCATAAAGTAACGCGTTACCGTTACCGTTGCTTTTTGTAAAATAGAATGTATACAAAAAAAATTCTCGGTATCTAAAATTCGTGAATTTTAGGATTTCTGTTTCGAAAGAGAGGTTCTGAGAATTTCTCTCTCATTATAAGATTTAACGAACGGATTGATTTTATTGCATATTTGTTCATGTAGCAGATTTGAATTATCTTAACCAGCTGAGCGTTGTTGAAATAAATTCTTTAAGTTTTTATACATTTTGTAAACATTTTTCAAAAATTATTACATAGCATAATAAAGTTATCTCTAATCCAAATAATATTGCACTAATGATTCAATCATATTTTGATTGATATACACTACTATAATAATTCAGTTTTCATGTTATGATTTTCTCGCATTTCATGAAAAGTTAAGTATCTTGGTGAAAAAAATCGTGGAAAAGTTTTCAAGAATGCATTTTAAAGAAGAGAGATAAAACTGTAAATTTGTTTTTTAGTTTCATTCTATCATATTTTGTTTAAATTATATAAAATTAAAAATTAGTATTTTTTCCAAAGTTTTTTATAAAATGATTTTCAACATTGAAATTAAAGAATTTATGAAAAAAAAGAAAAAAAATCTGTTGCAAATTCCGTTTTCAATTCGCATAAATTTTATTAAAAATTTTTTCAATTTTTCGTGAGATGCAAGAAAATTACAAATGTTTTTGAACTTACGAACGGTAATGTATATTAAAATTATATATAATTTTATGTTTATATATATGTATATATTATATTTTATATATATTTATATAATTTATTTATATATATAAATATACATTAAAATTATATATAAATCGTATGCATATACTGAAAGAAAGAAATGTTGACAGATAACATTCAACGTGCTAAGTCTGCATTTCATCATAGCAGAGTTATAATAGCAAAGTAGTAATAAAAAAATATTAACGTTATTGATTAAAGTGTATCAGGAAATTATTTTTTAAGTAGCACGCAGATTTTGTATATGAGATTTTCATTGATTTTCATGCGATTTTCATATCGACAAATGCACCTAGATATTAGGTGTACAAATTAATTCTCGGCCCCTACTTTTCAACGACCTCAGAACCCGTTTAAGTTGAACTCCCCCCTTTTCTGTAGTCATCAAGAAATGCCATCTTTTAGCTTTAAAATGAGGTACAATACTCTGTGATCCTTCTGTGGATATAAAACCTGAAAAATCAGCAGTAAACATGATGTCATTCGAAAAGCAACATTTGAGGCACTGCCTTCTTTTCGCGTTTCAATTAAAAAAAACGCGGCTGAGACAAAAGAAATGATTTGTTCGGTTTTGGGCGAGAATGCTGTATCGTACAGTACGTATAAAAAATGGTTCTAACAGTTTCGAGAGGGAAATTTCATTCTTGAGGATGAACGCCCTGGTCAATCAAAAAAAGTGAAAGACGTGGAATTGGAGGAAATTTTGAACGAGAATTCTTGCCAAACGCAATTAGAACTATATATATAGATATACAATATTATTCATTCCGTAAATAATAATTTTGATATATGTATTATTATTGATGACTGTTACATGGTTTATAGCAATATATTTTGTATTGTATACGTTAAATAATTAATCGCTTTAATACAATTGTTCGGAGAGGATTTTTATTATTTTCATCATTGCAGAATTTTATTTTCTTTGTAGATACAAGAATTTTCTTGTTTTTTTAATAATTAAAGATAGATCGGTTTTTTGTAGAATTGCATCCACATTCTACCATAAATACGAAACGAATTTGAAATATGTACATATACATGTATAATAAGTATAAAACAAAATAAAAATTATCTTCTTCCTATGGCGGACAAAGCGATGTACTTAAGTATAAAAACGGAATATTCTATGCAACTAGACTGATCATATTAAGTGTAGTGTTCTCGATTGACTGCACAAAGGGGGTTACCATGTTACTACACCACTACTTGGCGAACTCAGAACATCGCGAGTAAACAGAAGTCAACAGCGATTTTTGATTGAAGCTTTGAATCCATCAAATATGCATAGTTTATCTAGGACAACAAGCTTCTTTCAAGCAGCACGAAGTCTCTCCGTCGCGTCGTCATTATTCATTACGTCCTTCCTTGAACATAATCGTATACTTACGAGACGATTATATCACATTGACATCATATACATATACATATAAAACTCATTTATGTGGATGTCGTGTTTTCGCCTCAGCGTGAAACTTAGACAATCGTCGATCGCAGTCGGATCGATCGATTTTATCGTATCTAATTGATGTGTCACTAGTTCTATCGGTAAGAAATTTAAAGACATTGATACAGAATAGACATACTCGGTGTATACAGAATCGAATTACAATGATTACTTTTCAACAATTGATAAGCTCATGTAATACATTCTTAAATTGTACATAGGAATGCACTCAGAAATTTAAGGTATTTTATTTTATTGTTCACTGAATATTAAATAAAAATAAAATGATACCTGCATGCCCCTAAATGAAGTTTCTGAATACAATCCAGTAGTAACCAATAGCGTATAATTACGCAACGTATTAGACTTGGAGAACCGCTTACGGGGAAATCATTTTTCACTATCCTTTTTGTTATTTTTTTGTTACAATATATATATATATTTTCTTTAATTCACCATTTTATATCTGGTGACAATAAATTTGCAGAGATAAATTGAGATATTTTGATTATTAGTGAAAATACTGCCGAATAAATACCTCTCATAACTTTTTTCATAGCATATACATATATAAAAAATTTTCGGGAACGTCAAAAAATAAGTAGCCTCCAAGGTGGGATTTTATTTACGTTTCCGTCCTTCTAAGAGAATAATTTACGGCAAAATAAAGTTTCTAATTTATGATGTGATAATTTTCGCTGTAATCGATATAACATGTTATAAGTATGTAAATTACAATGCAATAGAATATATAAAAAAGCGCCGGATTATACATTTTTTTGTACTTTACATTCTGAAAAATAAAGTTATTATATCGAAACTGTACGTGCATCTTTTAACCGTGGAGTTTTTTCTCATCGCATGAAACAATCGAATTTCCAGGATTATTTTGTGAAAATGTTTGATCAACGAATGTAATAAGATTTCGATATAACGAATAGAATATAATTATTGTGTAGCGATAAACTTTAATTCAGATTAAGAATTTAATTTAATTCGAGCATGCAGATATACATATTTTTTAATTATAAGTGTCACTACGAATTATTAAACAGAAGAAAAGTTTTAAAAAAAGGATTTTATTTCAGAACTGATTGTGAGATAACCAAATCTTTCAACACATGACTAAACGTAAAAGTGGAATTCGTTATAACGAAACTCTTTATACTATTTCTAACGATAAAATCATAGAACGTACTTTTTAAGATTGATATTTCTTGCTGTTAGAAATTTGACGAACTGAACGATACACTGAAAAAAGTCTGGAAATGTATTTTGTTTGGTATATAAATGTTATTAAATATAATAATAGCAACCAGTATTAGTTCATACACGAACTAATATTATCGTACTTTTCTAATTATTATCTACTGTTTGATAATAACTAGAAAAATAAGTTAATATTAGGAAAATTAAAATCACCGTTCGATTTTGATATTAATAGAACATTTGATTGAATTTGATTTCACCATAGCTTTGGTATATATATATATATAATGATTATCTATACTTGATTATTATTATGACTTGTTTTCAGTGTACTTTTTTAGACATGTAAATATGTCATAATTCAGGAATCATTGATTCCTTGCGCATGACACGCTGCTCTATATGTGCTAAAGCATAGCATACGATCCATGTTCGATTAATACCGGTATCAAAGGAATACATGATTGTCGGTTCACTACACATAATATGCGATTGGCAGTAGATTTCGTATCTGACGAATTTTGAGCCTGATATTCGGCCCTTCAATCACGATTCACGAATTTGGTCCCATCAACCCCCGACCATGTTGTGCATGAATATTAAATATTTTATACGTGTATTCGTTCTTGTTTCCGTTTTCTTTTCGCTGTTGTTCACATTATGCCGTTGTATATTTATAGTTTACAGTAGCATGATCGCTCCGAGAATATTATAATTACTACCATTCTGTGTGTCGCCATTCTCATGATCACTCTCTCTCTCTCTCTCTCTCTCTCTCTCTCTCTCTCTCTCTCTCTCTCTCTCTCTCTCATTCTCTTTCTTTTTCTTCCTTCTGTTTGTAAATTTCACCGTGTGCGTTGCCTTTTTCTTTTTCTTTCTTTTTGTTATTGCTACTGCTGTTATTCTTAAATCCGAGTGAACGAGTGGAAAAGTATTTAGGTAGAGAAACGAGAGTGAGACGAGATTCTTTCGAGTGTATAAGTAGATTGTTACTGATATGCGATTTTTCTCAATGTTCCTTCTGTTTTCTTCTTAACGTCAAAGGCACCTTTGTATTCGCAGCATCGTGTGCCGTGATCCACGATGAGGCATTTTTCTGATTATATATACAACAATTTAAATTGATGGGTTTAAAACAAAGAAAAAGATCTAGCAAAGTGTCGAGATATTTCTTCTACTTTTTATTCGATTTTAATTTAAAAATATACATGTATTGGATGTTGTATCATATTAGTTAGTATGCCATGTTATCATTTCTAGCAAGCGTGATCGATCGATTTATATTCATAAAATTGTTCGATCGATCATATATATGTACTATATATATACATTTTATAAATGTAATGCTTGCTAGAGAAGTTGTTATATTTATAAAATAGTCTGATATGCTGACCAATATGTTAGTGCAACATCTAATACATATATTGTACAAAAATACTTTTTATTTAATATATTTATTAATATTACACTTTTTATTTTATATATAATATGTTTAATATTTAAAATAATTTAAACCTATCTATTTTATAATCGTCATGT